GAAAACCTGGTGCTTTCAAGCCCAGACCCCGAACCAGCCCTGAAACACCGTTGGTGTGAATGAGGCAGAGGTGTGGGACTCGAGGTCACAATGACTGTGACTCGAGTCACACAGTGTTATGACTTGAGACTCGACTTGACAACCTCACAGAAAAAGACTTGCGACTCGACTTGGACTTGAACACCAATGACTCGGGACTTGACTTGGACTTGAGCCTTCTGACTTTGAGGTACTTGCTACTTTAATTTAGAGGTCTCCAACACGCCGATCGCGAGCTGCCGCTAGAAGAGCAGACACCCCCGGTCGGGGAAAGCAGAATCTTCACCGCTCCTACTCTTGCTGAGAATCCTTGCAGGCAGGGGCGGGTCTTTATTTAGCTGGGCCACCTGCGGCCAATCATATGCGAGGACACACTAGGATCAATACCATTATGTGAAAGAAGGGTGGGGGGGCACAGCATGTGTAGTGGTACAGGCCAGCTGTACAGAGCGACGGGGAGACGGGGAGCCGGATTTAAATGCAAGCGCGTCGGAAAAGTCAAGAAATGTGCGAAACCGAAAAAATGATTCAATGATATTGGAGAAAGCAAAGCGAGTGCAGGATTTGTAAAATAAAAATAACCTTCAGAGCAGAGTTTTTTTTTGGTAACCACTCAGGATTTATTGTCAGAGGTGGGAGAAGTTCATACAATTAAAAAAAGTTAACAAATCAGGGTTCCCGCGGGGTCTTAACAAGTCTTAAAAAGTCTTACATTTGATAATCAGAATTTAAGGCCTTAAAAAGGTCTTAAATATGATTCAGAAGGTCTTAAAAATTAATCGGATTTGAAAGGTACTTCTATGTTGCGATAGCGTCTAAATGTGTTTTGGGGGAAATGTCCGGGCTGCAAAGTAACCAGTACGGTAATAGCATTTCAGTTCCCCCCAACAATTTGTATTGAATTAAATCAACATGGAACCAGTAATCACTAACTTGTTTCCCCCCCGGCCCCTTATTGGAGAACACCCCGCTAGTAACCTAGCAACCAAGCTTTAGCTCATGTAGCCTATCTTCGAATCTACTTACAAATAAAATATGGGGACAGTGTAAGTTCAACCGTATATGGTTGGAAAACATCTAATTTAGTGCTTGGTTGAAACCAGTGGAAGGGAACGTGTTTGAAGCCCGCTGCACCTTTTGCAAAATAAATTAGTGTTTGTTTGCTAATGTAGCGTTAGCTAGTCCTGCAGCAGCTAATGTTGCCTTAGCTAGTGCAGCAGCAGCTAATGTAGCGTTAGCTAGTGCAGCAAGCTCCCCACATCAACACCGGGGACCTCCGGGCGAAGTTTGGGTCTACGTCAACCCTAAAAGCGGAGGTGCTGTTGATGCTAAATACCGTAGCTAAACACCAATCATACAACAGCAACGATGAAATAGTGTAGCCAAGGCAGCAGAGCTCTGAATATTACATTACATTACATTACATTACATTGCATTTAGCTGACGCTTTATCCAAAGCGACTTACAATAAGTACATTCGACCAGGAAGACACAACCTTGAAGAAAACAGAATCATATAAGTACATCATGTTTCATAGAGCCAAACATTTCAAGTGCTACTCAACTGGCTTTAGGTAAGCCAGTCCTTTGTTAGTATAAAAGTGCTTCGTTAATAGTTCTAACGCTCGAAGTGGAGTCGAAAGAGATGAGTTTTCAGTCTGCGCCGGAAGATGTGCAAGCTATCTGCCGTCCTGATGTCAATGGGGAGCTCATTCCACCATCTTGGAGCCAGGACAGCAAACCCACGTGTTTTCGCCGATGGGAACTTGGGTCCCCCTCGCAGCGAGGGCGCAGCGAGTCGTTTGGCTGATGCAGAGCGTAGTGCACACGCTGGGGTGTACGGTTTAAACCATGTCCTGGATGTAGGAAGGGGCCAGATCCATTCGCAGCATGGTAAGCAAGTACCAGTGTCTTGAAGTGGATTCTAGCAGTTACCGGAAGCCAGTGAAGGGAGCGGAGGAGCGGAGTGGTGTGGGGAGAATTTAGGAAGGTTGAAGACCAGACGAGCCGCTGCATTCTGGATGAGCTGCAGAGGTCGGATGGCACATGCAGGTAGACCAGCCAGGAGGGAGTTGCAGTAGTCTAGGCGTGAGATGACGAGAGCCTGGACCAGAACTTGAGTCCTCTTTCTGAGTCAGCTGGGGACGTATCTTCCTGATGTTGTAAAGCGTGTATCTGCAGCAACGGGTTGTAGCAGCGATGTTTGCAGTGAAGGACAGGTTGTTATCTAGGGTCACACCCAGATTCCTTGCAGTCTGAGTCGGGGAAACCAACTGAGGGTGCCGATGTTGATTGTCAGGGTCAAGAGTTGGACAATCTTTTCCCGGAAGGAAGAGCAGCTCAGTCTTGTCAAGGTTGAGCTTGAGGTGGTGAGCAGACATCCACTGAGAGATGTCAGCTAGACAAGCAGAGATGCGTGCGACGACCTGGGTCTCTGAGCGGGGAAAGGACAGAATTAATTGGGTGTCGTCAGCGTAGCAGTGGTATGAAAACCATGCGGGCTAATGACTGATCCGAGCGAGTTTGTGTACAGGGAGAAGAGGAGGGGACCAAGAACAGAGCCCTGAGGGACCCCCGTAGTTAATTGACAAGGGTCGGACTCAGACCCTCTCCAAGTCACCCTGTAGAATATAGCTCTTGTCACTCTTTCTCAGAGACACACACACACACAACACACACACACACACACACACACACACACACACCACACACACACACACACCACGACACACACACACACCACACACACACACACACACACACACACACACACACACCACACACACACACAACACACACACACACACACACACACACACACACACACACACTAGGGCTGCTCGATTATGGCAATAATCAAGATTATGTGGTCAATAATTAATATCACGATTATTAAATATGATTATTCATTCACTTTGAAAACATCCATTTATTGAACTTTAAAACAAATAATAATTTGAACAGTATCTTTTTAACTGTTGATTACCCTGAACGTATAATTCAACTGAAAAACCAATACAAAAATTAATTAAATAAATGATACATTACTAACAAATTAATTAGATCAATATGTTGTGGTGCACTGTCACAACCTAGCAAAGCAAAATAATCGTTTTTTTCCGATTATGTTGTTTTCGTAATGGTGGCAGGCCAAAATCGTAATTGCGATTAAAATATGATTAATTGCACAGCCCTAACACACACACACACACACACACACACACACACACACACACACACACACACACACATACAAACACACACACACACACACACACACACACACACTCAAGCACACACACTCAAGCACACACAGACGCACACACATACACACTTTTGTCTAACACGCTAACACAGTTCTGTACTGTTACGCTGTTGTGTTCAGTCATTGTTCTTATGTTGAACATGAATACATTTACTTTGTAAGTGATTATGGGACGTATTTCTTCTTTATATACATTTTCCTTCATACTTTATTGCCGTGAAATAGGTCTTAAATTCTATTCAAAGTGGTCTTAAAAAGGTGTTAAAAAGTCTTACATTTGAGTTGGCGAAACCTGCAGGAACCCTGTACAATAAAAAGTCCTATATTCAAAATGTTACAAGTAAAAGTAGAAAAGTATTAGCATCAAAATATACTTAAAGTACCACCTGCAGAGGGATCTAGATGCAGGTGTTCTTTTCCCCATAGAGACTGCCTCGCTGCACATTATCCCTTGCATAAAGATAGATTGTGGGTCCCTTATAACATGTTGTACACAGTGGAAATAAACATTCTGGTTACCTCAACATCAGGGATCTTATCCATTAAACTCCTTCTGAATCAAACCGTCACGGTAGCCTTACCTTACTGATCCCTCTTAAATTAGAAAAACACACGTTACTTTACCAGCAGAGAGAAAATGTGATTAATATTAATGTGACTAATAAAGATTAATTTGATTATTAAGTATTAATCTGTTGATCGATGTCATTACATTTGATGAAAAACACATAAAGACTTGTTTATGACTCGTTTTGTCAAAGTTTAGGACTTGGACTTGACTTGAACTTGCCCATCCTGACTTGAGACTTGACTTGTACTTGCAAAACAATGAATTGAGACTTGACTCGGACTTGAGCGCAAAGACTTGAGACTTGACTCTGACTTGCAAAACAATGACTTGGTCCCACCTCTGGAATGAGGTATAGTGTATTCCGGTTCCAAGGCCTAATCTTTACCTTAAATGGGCGGCAGTGGCTCAGTCTCTTAGCTTTGGGACAGAAGGGTCGCCGGTTCACTTCCTGCACAAGTTCCCATGAGCAAGCCACTAAATGAGTTACAACATTTAACTGACATTCTTGAGTTTAATTACATAAAGTTTTGTTAATACATTTTGGAATTATTATTCTGTTCTCAGCTACAGTAACAATATTTTTTACCGCTTATTTTTGGGTTTTTCAATTTTCCAAAAATATATTTCTCCCGTTATTTTGGTCGGATTTGTAATTACTGGAATTAGTTATAAGTTACCATATTAAAAAAACTTCAGGAAAAAGTCAACTTTCTTCTTACAGAGACACAGAAAGCAGACTACGTAGCAGAATAAATAAAAGTAAGACTGTTGACAGCTATTTAAAAAAAGGATCTATTATAACAAACAATGTGTATTGTGGGCTGGATAACAGTCAGGCCGGTAATCAGAAGGGATCAACACATACAAATGAAAGCTTTAGCGCAAGTTCAATAAGGAAGACCTAACTCGAGTCACTCACACGTCACTCTATGGCTCCCTTCCCCCCTCATTAAATATGAGGGCGTCACGCCTCAGCAGCCAATCGCTGCACATGCTAAATGCCTTAAATACCTGCTCTTCCTCCCTGTCAGTTGTCATTGCAGATGATCACACGCAGTAGCAGTACTTCTTTACTCTTTCTCGTGAGAAAAAAAAAAAAAAACCCAAAACAAAACCTAGCTCAAGATGTCCAACTCGGACAATTCAGACGAACCTGGTATGGAAATCTTTGATCCCGGTTCGACTCTCCACAGCGGCCTATCACCAGAGGCAGACTTCCTCATCGCCCGACTCCGGCAGCAGGGCATCCCCACAGCCCCAGGCCTCACTCTCTCGCAACTTCGAGAGCTCTCGGATCAGGTCTCCAGCTCAGCTCCCCAGCCCGAGGCAGCAGCCCCAAGCAGCTCCCCAGAGAGACCAGGGCGAGGACGCGGCCGCAGCCGCGGAGGAAAAAAACGCAGGAAATCGAGCCCTCCAGGACCCCGTCCGCCTCCCAAATCCACCCCTTCTCAGGCTCACCAGGCCGGGAGCGGGGAAAGTAGCGTGGTCGGCGCCCTGCAATCCCTCAATAGCTCCATAAGAGCCATCGATGCTCGCCTCCAGGCCCTGGAAGACTCCGGCACAGGAGCGTCAACTTCCGCCGCATTCAGAGCAGCGCTCGCTGCCTCAGTCCCGCTGGGGTTGCCAGGTCAGGGTTTTCCACGCATCCCAGTGGCAGCTCCTCCTCACTCTCTGGCTTCAGCCCTCCCAGCCCCCCCTGCAGGTAGGCCTTTTATTTCTCAAGCCGCTAATATCTCCTCACGGCTTAGGTCGAAAATTCTTGAAGGGAAGGATGTTAACTTGCTTAGCCTTATCCTGCCCTCCCCAGAGTGCGATAAAGCCATCGCCACAGGAGGAGACATCACCCGCCGTCTTTAAAAACCGCAGACCCCAGGCTTATCAGAGATATCAGCATAGGGCAATTCATGGTAGCTTTCGGCATCTTCCGTGACGTCATCTGCTCTGTCTACCCTGAGAGAAGAGCAGAATTAGATACGTACATGGCCATCATCGGGGACATCAACCTTAGATACGGGAGATCCATCTTCTATCAGTACCATAAAAGCTTTTCTAGTAAAGCAGCGCTTCACCTAGCGCATAGCAATATCCGCCTCGACTGGTCAGTGATGGACATCGAGCTGCCGTGATGGCTACCGGCGGGCAAACCGCTATTTCTTGCAACAGCTGCGGAGCACAAGGCCACATCGCTGTCCTCTGCCCCTCAGTGCCTTTCTCCGCGCCCAGAGCCTCCAACACGCAGTATACTGGATATGATAGAACAAACCGTCAGGTGCAAATGAGACACGAAGACAAAATCTGCGCTAGATTCAATGAAAATGTCTGTACTCAACCTTATTGTTCATTTCTCCATATCTGCAGTTCCTGCAGGGATGCACACCCGAAGTCCGTGTGCCCCAGGCGCAGCCAAAACCTCTCAGTAGCTCTGCGCCAGAAACCTCGTGGTGGAAAAACATTCTAAAACATCACCCCTCCACTCCCATTAACATCCCTCAGCTAGCAGCTGCGCTATCCAACCACCCAGATTCCGTTTTCGTGGACTATCTCCTGTCAGGGCTCTCCCAAGGCTTCAGGGTAGGGGTCCTCTCATCTCCCACAGTTACTTTCGTAGCAAAAAACCTACAGTCAGCCGCTAAAGAACCCAACATAGTTTCCCAGCTCATCGACAAAGAACTCCACAAAGGATACATAATCGGCCCCTTTAGCTCCTCCCCCTTCCCAGTGTTCCGTTCAAATCCCATAGGAATAGCCACACGCAAATACTCTGGAAAAAAAAGGCTGATTTTCGATCTGTCCGCTCCCCGTTCCGGCACATTTTGCAGCGTCAATAGTATCATCCCTCCAGAGCAGTTTTCCCTTCACTATGCCTCAGTGGACAATGCAATCAAATTGATTAAGTTCACAGGGCACGGAGCGTGGCTCTCCAAAGCGGACATTACCGATGCCTTAAAAATCATTCCCATTCATCCGTCTCAGTGGAACTTGTTCGGCATTAAGTGGGAGTCCAAATTCTATTTCGCCGTTCGCCTGACCTTCGGGTGCAGAAGCAGCCCCTGCATCTTCAACTCCTTCTCGGAAGCGCTCTGCTGGATCCTGCTGAACATCGTCAGAATCCCCTCCGTCCTTCACCTACTGGACGACTTCCTCCTCATAGACCCGCCACAGGACAGCTCAGGGACCTCACTGAGCAAACTGAAACACTGCTTTCAGGAGCTAGGCGTCCCCCTCTCCAATGAAAAAACGTTAGGTCCCAACACATGCTTAGAGTTCTTAGGCATCACCCTTGACTCCATAGACATGAAGGCGTCTCTCCCCTCCGACAAATTGCAGCGCATTCGGGACATCACCAAATCATACTGCGAGCAACAAATCATTACAAAACAACAGCTGCTCTCCCTTCTAGGACACCTCAACTTCGCCATGCGAGTCATCCCCCAGGGGCGCTCGTTCATCTCCCGCCTCCTGGACACAGCATCAGCGGTCGACAATCTCCATGACCGCGTCCTCTTAGACGAAGGCTGCCGCTCAGACCTACGTTTCTGGTCTTTCCTGCTCGCCCACTGGAACGGAGTCACTTTCTTCTATGACGACCTTGTGTGTTCCTCCGATTCAATGAGGTTCTTCACGGATGCCGCCCCATCCGTGGGTTTTGGGGGCTTCTTTCAGGGCGAGTGGTTCGCAGGGTCTTGGCCCCCGTCATTCCCTAATCATGCCTCATCCTCCGCTCTGCACGAGATATTTCCGATCGCCGTTGCATGCCACGTATGGGGTCACCAGTGGTTCCGTAAACGCATCTCGGTGCTGTGCGATAACCAATCAGTGGTCGAAATCATCAATAAAGCGCGCTCCCAGTGTAGCGACATCATGCCATTCATGAGAAGCATCACGCGGTCCTCCATTATCCACAACTTCATCATCACAGCTCGTCACATTCCCGGTCACCTCAATGTCATCGCTGACTCCCTCTCTCGCTTTCATTTCCAGACATTCCGGAGCCTCTGCCCGGAAGCCAGCTCGCAACCAGTCGGAATCCCTCCACTTCATCTCCTCTCTCTGCACTAACCGAGAGTCCCCTAGCTCGGCACCTTGAGTCGGCCAGATTCTTCATGAGAAAGGGCTTAGCCGCTTCCACCCTCAGATCCTATGATTTCGCATGGAGAACGTTCGCTTTTTTCTGCCGCTCAGTAGATGTCCCCCTCAAACCTGTCCTCATCTCCACCGTGTGCGCCTTTATGGGCTACTGCACCACCGATCGACACCTCAAACCCCTGTATATCCGGAGCCTCCTAGCAGGAATTCAATTCAACGTTCGATGCTCTGATCCTAGCTTTCCCAGCCTACTCTCCAACCCTACCGTTAAACTCATCCTTAAAGGGCTGTACAAGACGTTTCCCCCCGCTGCAGACCCGAGGCTCCCCATCACGCTCCCTGTCCTGCGTCTCATGCTGTCCACACTCAGGAAAGGATTATTCTCCCCCTATCTCGACGCACTGCTCGATGCCGTATTCCTACTTGCCTTCTATGCGCTCCTCCGACCCGGCGAATTTACCACAGCTTCCCTCACGTTCGACCCCAGCCAAGACGTCTGCCTCTCCGACCTAGTCTTCAACACCAACCACTTTAGTCTCAGCCTCAAACACTCAAAATGCGGGGGAGCCTGCTCAGTCATCGCGGCTCGCATCAATTCCCCGTTCTGCCCTTTTAATTCCATGATTAAATTCCTGCGCTGCAGACCCCCCACCAATCCGTCCTCACCACTTTTTCTCATCAAAGGAAATGCCCCCCTAACGCTGCGACTGTTCACTTTCTACCTCAAGCAAGTCCTCACTAAGTCCGGCATATCACCTACATCCTACTCAGGACATTCCTTTAGGATAGGTGCAGCCACCTCGGCTGCTAATCAAGGTCTCTCCACCTCATCCCTTCAACAATTAGGACGGTGGTCCTCCTCCGCCTTCGCAACCTACATTCGCCCGGACATCAGCACCGTACTGGCTTCCCAAAGATCTCTCGGACCCTAATTATGGTATTTATGCATATAACTGGTGGTGGCTCATAAACACATTCATAAGTATACATGTCTAACTAAGGTACCTGATATTCAAACTGCATTCCTGTCCTAGTCCGCGGGCCCCGCCCACAGGGAATAACTTCTCGTCTCACGCGCACCTCCACGTAACGGGCTCCATCTCCCGGACACAGGTATCCAAATCCCAGGCTCTCGCTCAAACGTGTCAGTGTAAAGATATATCCTATGAAGTCAGGCGTGGCGGAAGGCCACCGTACACCTCGGTGTCAGCTACAAAACAAAGGAAAGAGAAAGAAAAGATATATATATATATAGCCTGCGAAGTCAGGCGTGGCGGAAGGCCACCGTACACTTCGGTGTCAGTTACAAAACAAAGGAAAGAAAAAGATATATATATATATATATATATATAGCCTGCGAAGTCAGGCATGGCGGAAGGCCACCGTACACTTCGGTGTCGTAGCGGAAGGCTACCGTACACTTCGGTGTCAGTTACAAAACAAAGAGTAAAGAAAAAAAGATACATATATATATATATATATAACCTGCGAAGTCAGGCGTGGCGGAAGGCCACCGTACACTTCGGTGTCAGTTACAAAACAAAGGAAAAAGAAATAAAGAAAAACATATATATATATATATATATATAGCCTGAGAAGTCAGGCGTGGCGGAAGGCCACCGTACACTTCGGTGTCGTAGCGGAAGGCTACCGTACACTTCGGTGTCAGTTACAAAAAACAAAGGAAAGAGTAAAGAAAGATATATATATATATATATATATATAACCTGCGAAGTCAGGCGTGGCGGAAGGCCACCGTACACTTCGGTGTCAGTTACAAAACAAAGGAAAAAGAATAAAGAGAAATATATATATATATATATATAGCCTGCGAAGTCAGGCGTGGCGGAAGGCCACCGTACACTTCGGTGTCGTAGCGGAAGGCTACCGTACACTTCGGTGTCGTGGACGTTGGGCCACCGTTACAAAACGAAACCGCTCGCTCCTCGGCGTAGTCAAGCCCTGCTGGCCAGGCATGCGACCCGCAGGTCGTTTTCAGATAAGACCGGCACTGATTTCGGCAGTCAGAGTCTCAGCATGACCAGTAAGCTCCGGCAGTGATTCCGGCACAGTGTCGCTCATATACGTGTTAATCTATTATCTCTCCTCCCCAGATCACCAGTCACCCCACAAGGTAAGCAACTCAGTTCATCTCAGTATTCATACTTCACTGGTTTTGGGGATTTCATCGGAGCGGTGCTTTCCCTCCTGAATGATTATCCTGCAAACCGGGGGCCTAATCGCCAAACACCATTACATTCTCCTGTTGTACTATCATGGCAATCATTTCATTCATATGACGTGTAAACAATAAATATGTAATTCTTACATCACGTCTCTCCGGGTTGAAATGAAAGCTTTAGCGCAAGTTCAATAAGGAAGACCTAACTCGAGTCACTCACACGTCACTCTATGGCTCCCTTCCCCCCTCATTAAATATGAGGGCGTCACGCCTCAGCAGCCAATCGCTGCACATGCTAAATGCCTTAAATACCTGCTCTTCCTCCCTGTCAGTTGTCATTGCAGATGATCACACGCAACCCGCCTCCACCCCTCTCGCCTCCGTCTCCTTCAGGACAAAGCTAAACCTTCCTCCTTCAGACCGGTCTCACCTACTCATCACCACCACCAGTGTCTAGACCCCGGGGATTTCATCGGAGCGGTGCTTTCCCTCCTGAATGATTATCCTGCAAACCGGGGGCCTAATCGCCAAACACCATTACATTCTCCTGTTGTACTATCATGGCAATCATTTCATTCATATGACGTGTAAACAATAAATATGTAATTCTTACATCACGTCTCTCCGGGTTGAACATAAATAAACACTGTGTTTACTTTTGTGCTTTCTTGCTTTCAAAGCTTCTTTATTATAATCTCCTTAATACCGTACATTTCTCCTAAACTCACCAAAAGTCAGCATCACATAAAGCCTCATTTGCATATGTAAACATAACTAATAATATAAATTATACAGAATTTAGTTTTTAAAGGTTTGTAATGTGATGTTGTGTAAAATACATATATTTTGATCAACACCTTCCTTCTGATTGGTCGAGGACTCCCTGCTCCAGAGCTTATTAAGTGTCTCTATAACCCAGATTAGTTTGCATGTAGTGATTGGTTGTCCAAACCAATTAAAGGTTCAGCTATTATTGAGATAATTAATGAGTTTAAGGTATTTTCTGGATATAAAGGCCAATAATGTAAAATCCTTAAAGTTACCACGATTTATAATGTTCAGATTTAGCACACGTTCATTTCCATTATTTCTTCTTTTCTATAATGACATGAAAACAAATTATTTAGATCCAGTGGTGAATAATACTGTGATTTCTAATAAGATATACCCTTAAAACCCTCTTTTAATCTTTAATTAAACAACAAAAGCACATAACACACTCAATGTGAACTCAACAGTCTTTTATTATGGTACACTATTAATCACTTGATGTTTGTCTTTACACATTAATTTGTGTTCCAACCTTTTCATATTTGATTTAAAAATGCATTACATATAAAGATTTGAACGTTTCGATTGTTATAGCAATCAAAGAACAAATCAGAGATCTTGGTTCTGGACAATGTGTGACATTTGTTTAGTATTTGTTCAAACCACGCAAACCTAGAAATAACTGATATAACTATAAATCACACCAAACAAATACATCAGAAAGGGGACTGAAGATGAGCAAGGAGGTTTGGTAAATCTGCTGCTGTCCAGCCTCAGAAGGTCAGACTCTCTCATGCTAAACATCTCAGTTGATAGGTATTATCTAAAAAAGGAATCTATAAAATTGTACATTCAGCTTCCTCTCTGGCCTTCCATCCCGCCTCTTCTCTTATTATCCAACTCTCCCCTCCATTTCTCTTTCACTAGCTTCTTTTAGATTTTGCATCCTCTCCATGTCATCTTTGGCTTCATTTAATTGTTTCTCATACTTTTTTGCCATTTCCTCTTCCTGTTTGCGTATTTCGTCTTCTTTCTGTTTAAGGATTCTCTGTTTCTCCTCTTCTATGGCCCTCTCTGCCTTCTGGAACATTTCAGTGGTGTAATGGCTTCCTCCGTTCTTCACTGCTATATTTCTGATCTTGTCGAGCAGCTCTCTGACCTGAGAACGATCCTCCTCCTCATTATTGAAGACGTGGTACTGCCCTTTACATCTGGCCACCAGTTCCCGCAGCTCTTCACTTTGCTCCAATAACTCTTCGATAGGTTTCCCTTTGAGCAGATCACCGTGGGTAAAGAGAACCATGCTGTATCTGTCGGCTTCCTTTCCAAAGATTTCCTGAATCTTCTGCACTGTCTGCTTTTCTTCCTCTGTGAATCTGCCCACTTTGATGACGATCAGGAAGACATGGGGTCCAGGAGAAGCAAATGAAATGCTCTTACAAATGTTCTTTCTGGTCGTCTTTTCATCAATCTTGGTGTCAAACAGACCAGGAGTGTCAATAACAGCAACTTTTTGTCCATCAACTTCACCACAGACCTTTTCACAGTTTACAGTCAAGGATTTAAAAGAGAACTCTGATTTAAAGAACTCTTTTCCCAGAATGGTGTTTCCTGTGGTGCTCTTCCCAGCTCCGGTCTTCCCCACCATCACAATCCGGAGTACATCGTTATTGTATGTGTTTGATTGGCAGGCTGAAAAAAAGAAGAATGAAGAAATATTTAGAAATCTCGGTATTTATAAAATGGTTCAACTACCAAATGAACAATGTTGACAGAGAGGGGAGTGGGATCAAGACAACCTGATCTCACCAGAATGCACCACGACTCCTTAACACCGCATTGCGTGGTGGAGTCACAAACTCTGCTACAGTTACGTGTCGGCACCACGCAAACAACCCCAATGTAAAGTGAATGAGGCTCCTTTGTCGTGGTGCACACACACATTTCTACAACGTCCTGCAGTGAGCTTTTATTCTATAAAACGTTTTTAAAATCTACTTTATAGCTTGTAGTAACTCACGGGAGGCTTCTTTTAATTTATTTGTATTCATAATAATTTTCATTTTTCGTCAGAATGTATTATGGCAACCCTGTCTCCTAAAAATTACGTTCCCACAGAACTAAACTGCATTCTCAATTACGTTTAGCTAGAAACTTAATTGATACGTTTGTTATGAACGTATCTTAAATACGTTTATTTTCTACATATCTTTGCCATTTATTGTCTTGCTTATAATAATGATAATAGTCATTTATAAATATCATTTTAGAGCACACCTTTGAAATCAGTAGGCGAGGCTGTAATTTCTCCAGCTGTTACTCTCATGAGCAGGCAGAAAATAATAGTTTTAACATGCCAAAAAGCTGCTGTGTCGTTTATTGCACCTCAAACATTAAAACAAATCCAGAGTTACGTGTTTCTGAACTTCCTCTAAGAACAAAGGACAGTAACAGAAGATCTCTGTGGCTTCAGGCTTGATCGCCGTTCAAATGACAGCGTTGGTTTCCCCAAAAGTGGGCGGGGCTGTAAAGTGACGTAGATTTTACACTCATATATTATTCAAAACCATTCTATTTATTCTAACGTAAATTCCATGACAGTGTTTTATCTTTTTATTTATTTGTTTTTATCTTAAATCGTATAATGTCGGACTTCTTTTGCCGTCTGTGAGGAAAATAAATGGGGCTCAGAGCCTCAAAATACTGAAATCTGTATTTTTTGTAATCTTTTTTTCCTTCTAATTTGTTATTCTTTTCTGAATAACACATTGTTATTTACTCAACAATAACACACAATTATCCTTTTTTATTTATTTGTTTAATTCTATAATCTTGGGCTTTTTAGCCGTAAATAAAGTCACCGGAAACAGACGTAGGCCTCTAAGGGACATTTTGAGCGATACACATCACAAACCACCCACTGAAGAGATTACCAAAGATCCTCAGCTTGAAGCTCGTTGATTGGATGTTTTAGCCGCAATGCATGTTGGGATATGGTGTTAATGCGATATGATATCTGAAAACATTTTAAAATAATAAAATAATACTTTATTCCGAGTGTTCTTGCTTTTCTCTTTGGAGGTAATCACATAACGCCATTGTAATACACGGTTCGGCTGCATTAAATATTACATATCTGCCGTAGTTCTTTATTTATAGAGCCCTGCTGAGAAGACTTCTGGACAAACAGGAGAACTGAAAACTTGACGGCAAAACTGAATATGTGACGTGGATCATAAATATATCAACAATTAAACAACATCTTACATTTCTTTTCACACAATACGTCTCCTTGCAGTATCAATAGTAATTCAGCTGACTTTTATATTTGATCCAATTGGTAGATAGGTTATATTTACACCATAACGGTGCACAGCTGGTAGAAAAGGACTTGTAGTTGTTAAAGATAATACTGATTTTCTTTGAATATCAGAATGTAAATACTGAGTTGAGAGAATAGTTTGGGAATGTGGGTGATGGGAGACACATCTATGGAATCACAATTTCAATAGCTTACCATTAAATGACGGATATGCCTTTCTGTCTGTGATGTTTTACAAATCAGATATTAATGTGTAGAAGTAAAACATGAGAAATAGTATAGCAATATCCTGTAAAATTATGTAAAAACATGAATAAAACTACACATCTTCAGAGGTTATACATACATACGTGTCCTACACTAATAATACAAAGCTATTATTAGTATGCTGTTTACCTTGTGTGCACCTCCTAGTGGTTAAAGCACGTTATTGAATTATTTTTGTTGAATAATGTTATTTTTGTTGAATAATGTTATTTGATGAAAACAATATTAAGAGTACATACTTTCATAGGGGGAAAGTAGAAGGTCAATGATAGAAATATAGAATATAAAAAATCAAGAAGATACTGTAAGTGATCTCTACAATAAAACAGTTTAGTGCAGGATGTACAAAGATATTAATATGAGGATGTGCAAAACAGACAAACTAATTAACCTGTATTAACACATTAAAGAATACTTCAGGTTAAAGGTGGGGTAGGTAAGTTTGAGAAACCGGCTCGAGATACACTTTTTGTTATATTCCATGGAATGCTCTTAACATCCCGATAGTAATGAATATCTTAAATGCTTTGACAACAAATCCATAAAAAATGTTAATCTGTGGAAGCCGTAATACTGTAAAAAGTACAACCAATCCGTTTTGCCGCCCTGTCTGTCAGCCTTCCATCTCGTGCATGCACAAATGTATCTCGTGCCCTCATTGGGCATGCCGTCATTGGGCGTGCATTGCGCGTTCATGTGTGTTGGAGGAGGTGCTCTGTAAGGAAGTCTGAAGGAAGGGGCGGATTATTTTCGGCTGTGTACTTTCAAATTTTAGTGCACTCGAGCCGGTTTCTGAAACTTACCTACCCCACCTTTAAGGTCTTCTTTCAAATAAGAAAAAAGCTTTGGGGGTATTGTTAGAAATTAAAATCAATGTTTTGATGGCATGATGTACCTTAAATGTACCTTCAGTTTAAATGCTGTTTTATACTGAAAAACCAGAAAATTATTGAGCACAACCAGTTAAGCTTTTATTCTGAAAATCCTTCATCTCCGGTTAGCATGTGGCTAGTTTACCATTTCTTATAAAGGTTAATTTAGTAGCGAAATGACATGGAGTGATGCACACCGAAACCTACTGATTTTAACACTGCAACTATAGACGTATTATTATTGCTGAATATTAAATGAAGGTATAGTTTATTTGAATAAAGTTATTGTTTACAGACGTGGGTAAGATGTGACAACATCCGGAATGACCAGAAACCAAACCAGCCGTGAAGTATTTTCTGTATTTTTTAGAATATTAACCACAACGTTTAGAATGTGTTAAAGGAAAAGTGATGAAAGACAATATGAGGAGAAGAGGCGTGTTTAAGTATGTATTGAATGTACAATGCCTGAATCCTCTGTTTAAACGTAACAACGGACATTAAGATGTGGAGGGCCGGCCCGCAGGGAGGAGCCTGCAGAAGCTATATAACAGCAGCACCTGAGCGGTTCGGCCTCTTTTCTCTGCTAGCGAGGGCCAGAGACAGCTGCTTTTCTGTCGGACGATATCCTGTTTGTGACTGTACCGCGCCTTTTATTAATTAAAGTACCAATTTGAAAACATCTCAGAGACTCCATTTAGTCTCCTTTTTAAGCTTCTCTTTCCTGGACGCGAGAATAACCATCACAGTTAACAGTATCTAGCTACAGATAAATATTAAGCCTGACAAAGCCCTTGTGTTATGTTCACATTTCGCACCCTTTGGTAATGTTCGGGTCAAATTGACCCGGGACATATTTCAGGGTTTAAAAAAATACAGAACTAAATTCAACATGCACAATTCCTTATATATATTGTCTTTAACTAATTCCCCAACAATATAAATGAAATATGATTAGTTTTTGAAAATACTCTTTGCTGGATCAAATGTAACAATGGAAGTGTCCATCGTTTTTTGTGATAACAATTTAAGTTAAAAAAAATACACTAATAAAAACTAGGTTTACATTTTGCTCATGCTTTTCTCGGACAAATGTAAATGAAACATTTTTTCATTAATGTTTATTATTTTTAATCTGTCATATAATAATCAAAGCCCTGAAGGAAATAAAGCCATTTATCAGCAATTGGAACACAAGAACCACATCCAAAAGTATTTGGCTGTGAAATATTGTTAGGAACCTTGACCCAATAGCTTGGAGGACTCAAATGCACGACCCAGAGACAAACAGGTTTTTGAAGAAAAAAAATAGTCTTTACTTGCAAAAAAAAACAAAATCACTCTTTTAGAGGAATGAACAAACTGACAAACGTAAAGCGCTCTCGTGGAGGGTAAAAGGCAAAACACTGACTTTCATTAAACAATGGCTTAGATCTTACTTCTTGGAGCAATGAACAAGACGAACCGACAACTAACAAGGGGAGACAGGACAATATATACATGAGGTAAGTGGGCACAGGTGGAAACAATCAGGGGCGGGGCAGACACTGATGATGGCGGGAAAAGGAACCAGAGCAGGAAGTAAAGGGACCTGGAATGAGACAAGGTGAGTACAAAATAAAACAGGAAGTGGAACATAAACTAAACTAACATGACAAAACTTAACATAATTAACGGGACACAACAAATATAGAGGGAATGAAACATCCATATAAATGACATAGAACAGATATAAACACAAAGCAAATAAAAACAATTAACAGTCACTATTCATAAAATACAGTATATCCGAAAACTATATTGATGAAGTGACAGAACATCATATGAGTCAATGGGCAAGTCCGTTTAGGAAACACATGATGTACAGAACTTCTTTGTGTGTATAGCACAGATGTACTTGTTGCAGTTGCTGCATGTAGTCTGTGTCTTGGAGTCCTTTGAGGGTCCACAGACCTCACAGCTGGCTGTGGGGGTCTTCTTGCGGCTGGCTGTGGGGGTCCTTCAGCGGCTAGCCGTGGGGGTCTTCCAGCAGCTGGCTCTGAGTCAAGTTCATCTTCCAATTTGCTGTCAAATTCTGAGTTTACCTCCACATCATCCTCATCTTCAGAAATGTCTTCCTGTTCCACTTCACCGTGTGCCTCTAATGCATCCCACTCACTCTCATCCATTATTAGCTCCAAGGCTCTGAGCAGAATATCTTTTGGCCATTTTGCTGGTAGATAATTGTAGTTCTGCACTACACTGTAATGTGAGGTTATGTCTCTGTTTAGTCCCTCCTCCGGCGTGCAGGTGCGAGGGGGACAGTGCGAGAACATTTAAAATGTTTATACATTTCTGGAAGATCTAAAATGTTTATAATGTTCTAGGATAGTTTTGTGTACACACTACAAAGCGTAAAGATCAAGGGAAAACAGGATCAAACAGCTTCTCTGTGCATACGATTGTGTGTGTGTGTGTGTGTGTGTGTGTGTGTGTGTGTGTGTGTCTTTAGTTTCTGTGTTTCTGTGTGTTTTTCTCTGTCTGTCTGTCCTGGTATTGTATCCGGGTCAGATTGACCCGAACCTCTTATGAAGGACATAAATGCGGGTGGGCATTTTTTCATAAGTGGAAAAAAATAAAAACAATTCCACATGTCCTTCACTATAAATAAGCCCCGGCCATTGAGTTTCAGGTTGAACGAAAATATCCTTATATATTTTTGTATTCATTGAGAATGGAAATCGGGTCAATTTGACCCGAACACCACACAAGGGTTAACGTCTAATATATTGCTTTACTGCAATGTCAACTATGTTGAAGCACTTATTTTAACTGATATTATACACATTAATTATACTCTTATGTATGTAGATAGAATAAGAAATGTGCAGAATATGACAGTTTAATGGTGGAGGTACACACATATTGATAGATGTCTTGTAATGCACTGTTGAGGAACCTGTGACCCAAGTTTTTCATTAATTGCATAACTACACCGTAGTTGTGTATGTGATATGTCAATAAACCTTAGAAAATCTTGAAATCTTGAAAGGGATGTGCAAAATAGCCATAATATACAGTTTTTAATTAACTATTAGTAGAGAATAACGAGTAATTAATATACTTTATAGAGATCTGCAGATAAATGTTTAGTCTTCTCAAGCACCAACTATCAAATATCTCCTGATTGTTGACACTTGACAATCACCTTACCTGAATTTTACTCAGGTGTAACTAAAGTCTGCTTTAAGGGTTGTTTATATTTCACATCATTAATCAGAATCTGCAGAGTTACTAAAGTAAATGTAGTGGAGTAAAAATACCAGGTTAACCTCTGAATTGTAGTGGAGTAGAATATTAATGCTGCCCATTATGGATACAAGCGATTTTCACCCATATAGTAATTACATGTTTTAAATGTGTACACACCAATGTGTGCCTCTAACAATCAAATATCTCTCCTGATTGTTGGCACTTGACAATCACCTTCCCTGAATTTGACTCAGGTGTAACTAAAGTCTGCTTTAAGGGTCGTTTATATTACATTACATTACATTGCATGTAGCTAACGCTTTTATCCAAAGTGACTTACAGTAAGTACATTCGACCAGGAAGATACAACCTTGAAGAAAACAGAATCATATAAGTACATCAGGTTTTAGAGCAAAACATTTCAAGTGCTACTCAACTGGCTTTAGATAAGCCAGTCCTTTATTAGTATATAAGTGCTTTGTTAATAGTTCTATCGCTCGAAGTGGAGTCGAAAGAGATGAGTTTTCAGTCTGCGCGGGAAGGTGTGTAAGCTTTCTGCTGTCCTGATTTCAATGGGGAGCTCATTCCACCATCTTGGAGCCAGGATAGCAAACCCACGTGTTTTTGCTGATGGGAACTTGGGTCCCCCTCGCAGTGAGGGTGCAGCGAGCCATTTGGCTGATGCAGAGCGTAGTGCACGCGCTGGGGTGTACGCGCTGCGGTGTACGCGCTGGGGTGTACGGTTTAACCATGTCCTGGATGTAGGAAGGGCCAGATCCATTCGCAGCATGGTACGCAAGTACCATTGTTTTGAAGTGGATTCTAGCAGTTACTGGAAGCCAGTGAAGGGAGCGGAGGAGCGGAGGAGCGGTGTGGTGTGGGAACATTTTGGAAGGTTGAAGACCAGACGAGCCGCTGCATTCTGGATGAGCTGCAATTTCACATCATTAATCAGAATCTACAAAGTAACTAAAATAAATGTAGTGGAGTAAAAATACACTGAGCTGTCATGTGGGTATATATTAATGCTGCCCATTATGGATAAAAGCGATTTTCACCCATTTAGTACTTACATGTTTTACATGTGTACACACCAATGTGTTTCCTATGGCCTAAACCTCCAGGGCTGTACACAGTTTAATACTGTCAACTTCTAATTTTGGGAAAAACAAAAACGTCTTTTAAAACTACAATTCCCAGTAGAGACGTGGCAAAGAGAACATGTTGCGAAACACAGTAGCCAGCATGTGTAGTTCTGGGGGGCGTTCGAGTCCAGTTTTGAATAGTCTGCCGTGGTTTCGTTCCATTTCAAACAGCTTGGCGTAACCTTGGCGCACTGCCACTCCAACATCCAATCCCAGAGCTTGAAGATTAATCACGGGGTTTGTCAACGGGAATGTAGTCCCAAACGATAGCTGGGGATTATGGGTAGAGTAGTGTCTTCGGCAATCCTAAACTGAATTGTTTTTCGGATATCCTATCGCATTAACAACACCACATCTGGCGTCACAGAGATCTTCTGTTACTGTCCTTTCTTCTTAGAAGAAGTACAGACACACGTAACTCTGGTTTTGTTTTAATATTTGAGGTGCAATAAACGACACAGCAGCTTTTTGGCATGTTAAAACTATTATTTTCTGCCTCGCTCATGAGAGTAACAGCTGGCGAAATTACAGCCTCGCCTACTGATTTCAAAGGTGTGCTCTAAAATGATATTTATAAATGACTATTATCATTATTATAAGCAAGACAATAAATGGCAAAGATATGTAGAAAATAAACGTCTTTAAGATACGTTCATAACAAACGTAACGTGGGAGAAAATAAGTTTCTAGCTAAACGTAATTGAGAATGCAGTTTAGTTCTGTGGGAACGTAATTTTTAGGAGACAGGGTTGCCATAATACATTCTGACAAAAAATAAAAATTATTATGAATACAAATAAAATAAAAAAAGTAGATTTAAAAACGTTTTATAGAATAAAAGCTCACTGCAGGACGTTGTAGAAATGCGTGTGTGCACCACGACGAAGGAGCCTCATTCACTTTACATTGGGGTTGTTTGCGTGGTGCAGACATGGAAATGTAGCAAAGTTCGTGACTCCACCACGCAATGCGGTGTTAAGGAGTCGTGGTGGAGTCACGCATTCTGGTGAGATCAGGTTCGATCAAGATGGTTTAATAATCTAAAATATGTGTAGATTCTAGGTTTAAATAATCTAGAACATCTCTAGAATCTGTCATTCTATTGATATTTTTCATTTATTCCTGTAGATGCTATTGGCACCATAGAAAGCGTTTATTAGGCGACTGGCAGGTTTGGTGATAAAGGTAGAGGGTCTGTCAATGTCAAGTGATGCACCTTGAAGGGACCTTATTTTTTCTTCACCGGAGCAAGAGAGAGGCACCATGATGAACACAAATACTCAAAATTAAAATCAAACTAAATGTTAATCTTGCCTGAATGTTTCACTTCTTAACTGCCTGTCTACAACCTGAACTGACATGGTGCAGCAGTGGCCTCTAGCTGTACGTTTATTTTAATGACAAAACCTTTTTGACAGATAGTCACGACAACATGTTTAGTTTCTATCTTTCATACTTCTACAAATTACCCCATTTTGGGCCTAAAAAAACTTTTAAGTATATAAGTTGCCTTTAGTTATAATCAGGAGCCCAAACAAACTTCGTACTGGCTACCCCTAAATATGTAGTCTTGTGAAGAATGTAATACAGGCAAGTAAAAGCTGTGTCGCATTTGCAAAATCACCCAGGCTCTTAAAATGCTTGGAATATAAGAAATATTCATTTTGTATTAACTGTTTTGATCTGTTTATTATTAGGAAATATATCAAGCTACATATCCATCTATGAATATCTATTTAGATAAGTTGCAATCATCGTTAACAATAACGTTTATTCACTTACCATTTTGGGCAAGTTTGCTGGCCATAGTTGGTTCTGGAGGGAGGAGCTGGTCTGCTGCTGAGCTGAGGAAGTGAAGTTAGTCTGCAGCAACAGCTCCTTAAATACAGACTGCATGCAGCAAACCACACCCACACACACTGACATCACAGTCTGATGTTCAGCTACAGTGGGATGATTATTAGATTAAAAAGTATAACATCCTTCCCTTAATAAACAGAACAAGGGGAAATACAGCCTCATGTCTTCAGATTTGTTTTAATTGAACAGATTATATATATTTGAGATATAAGCCCTCAATGCTCTTTACATTTCAACATTCACCCGTTCACACACATTCATAGAGGCAGAGGCTGCCATGCAAGGTGCTCAGGGAGAATAACATTCACACACACTCACACACGTTAGCCATACCAATGTGTGGTTAAGTATCTTGCCCAAGGTCACATGGACATGTAGAGCTACATTTTATTTACAGTTTGAAGCACCTCCAGCAGTCTGCAGCTCTCAAAGTGTTTAAAAAGAAACATGGACAGTTAGCTTCAGCATTCAGCATAATAGTGATTTAATCAAATCTGGCTTCATATTATTAAAAGCAACACGAGCATCAACCCGACGCAGTCCGCCATTGTTGTGGTTGTGAGCGGCTGGGAACACAACTGGGACTAAAAAGGAGAACCAGTTCAGAACCAGAAAAGCACGGAGCTAGAACCAAACTGGTTTGGTGGGAAGGGGCATGGATGTGTTTAAACTGCCATTTCTTTCCCGTTAGGTTTTCACATTCATGTTATATGATTTTATTGCACCTCTTATTCAGGGTCTGATTGACACCCTTACTTTTCCCACCTGCTTGCTTCACTCACCGTAACAACATTTTCCATTAGAATGTATTTTCCTTTCACTTTTAGATAACTGCCCTCAGTTAACCCTGCTCCCTCCTCCCTTCAGCATTTACAAGAAATGTTCTCAGTTCTAAATCCCACAAAAACCTGCAGACTGTAGTCAGCACTTTTAACCGTAGCTTTCAGTCTCTGTTCATGACAGGATGTCATATTATGCTGCACTCACAAGCTTGGAAACTTTCAAAACCTTCAGCAGGGTTTTGTTCTTCACTTCCTTTTTCAATTAAACTCACACTGTTGAATCCTCATATCAACTTGAACTCAAAGTTGTTTTGCTTTTATTGAAGATTGTAGTGTACGTCATACTTGCCAACCTTGAGACCTCAGAAATTGGGAGCATTTCAAAACCACCGCGGGGGGGGGGGGGGGGTGGTAGTGGATCGCCGGAGCTGTATTAGATTAACATTAACATGCTTATTGTAGTGGTAAATGCAATGTCTTGCAGCCTGTAGCACCATCCTTGATGGAGCATATGTGTGGGCTGGACCTGTATTTTACAGGAAAGGAGTGAGCAGAGGGTCGAGATGTCGATTCTTGTTCTGTTTTATGTGACTATCTGCCTCACCCTCTCAGACTTTCAGTTGTGCACGCTACTAAAGAGACGCGCTACCATGACAACCAAACAATGGTGTAGCTGTATTAAAGTCTGAGTGGAAACAGTCCTGAGTAAATCTGATTTGGTCAGAAATCGGGAGAAATGCGGGAGAAATATGACCCCGGGAGGAAACCGGGAGAGGGCAGTGAAATCGGGAGTCTCCCGCGAAAATCGGGAGGGTTGGCAAGTATGGTGTACGGTGCAAGGGATTCATTTTAAGTTCTGATTCCCATAAGGCTGTTCCCTATGGAGCTCTTCCCAGCTTCAGTCTTCCCCTCCATCACAATCCTGAGCCCCTCGTCATTGTATTTGATATCTGAAATGTCAATGCACAAATGGGATTTATTTTCAGATACTGAAACAGAGTCCAGATCAATGCGATTTTAGATGCTACTTTTATCTGACTATTTATAGTTTGACTCCAGCTCCTTCAGCAGCTGTTGTGTGGGACTGATCCACACTGTTACAGCAGCCTGAACTTTGTCAAAGTGTTTTCAAAAGAAACATTGACAGGCTGATTCAGGATACAACTTAATAGTGATTCAACTGACCATGTTCATTTATTTACTGACATTTCTTTCCCCTCTAGGCTTTCACGTTCATGTGATATGATTCTATTCAACCTCTTATTCAGGGACTGAAATGATTGACACCCTTAATGTCCCGAATGTATTTTCCTTCCACTTTTAGATAACTACCCTCAGTAAACCCTGCTCCCCCTCCCTTCAGCATTTACAAGAAATGCCCCCTGTTCTTCTAAATGCCACAAAGAAACTGAACGTACAGAGTGAAGCCAGGCCTTTGAATTGCAGCATCTCTTTGTCTGAGGCCATGATACTCCGAGGAGGGAATGAGTCCTCAGAAAGTATTTGCAAACATTAATCATAAATAATATATGTTTTAAGACTGAGATATACTCAACATATGTAAGGGAAAATGCCTCCAAATGGACAGAATTAACATTGCAACTGATGACCAAATGGCAGAATGCGTCTCAATGGACATGCTACTCCAATTGCCTATCAGTTTACTGTACCCAAAGTGACAAAAAAAGTATTCATTTGGACACGCTGAAATACGTTCAATTTACAATAGTTTGAGCTCCAAGATCATTTTAGAAAATTTATTAAAATGTTTTTAAGTCTGAAAACAATGACATTATGGCACATATTTTAATTAAACATTTTTACCGACTTTTGACATTAATCTACCCATGTTTGAACACTGGTCTTCGGGTAACATTGGCGTGTGTGTACAGTGTATGTCTCTCCCTCTATTCACACCACTTCTGCCCGTGTTTCAGAGACTTATAGCTGGGTTGAAAAGCCATGTGCATCACCCTGGATCTCTGCATGTCAGTCTAAGACCCTAGTGACTCTGCTGTTTTTACCTTCTTGTTCATTTCGGGAGTCAAATGTTAACGAAATGGACAGATTTCCGTCCATTTCGTGAGTCGAATGTTAACGAAATGGACAGACTTCCGTCCTGTTGAATTAAAACACTTTAATGCACTTTTAACACTCAATGTACCCACGATTACAGCTAATTTCCTGGGTAACACAGTGAGATGAAGCAGCCTGTCCTCTGGGTGCGCTTTCTGTGGGGTCTCGCAGCCCTCTCCTCTCTGCTGCGGTCTCACACTCTATTCTCACCGCTTTTCCCCGCCTTTCGGAGACTTATTGCTGGGTAGAAAAGCCATGTGCATCACCCTGGATCTCTGTATGTGTGTGCCTGTGAGTCTGATACCCTAACAGCAGTGGCTCTGCTGTGTTTACCTTCTTATCCATTTCGTGAGTCGAATGTTAACGAAATGGACAGACTTCCGTCCTGTTGAATTAAAACAGTTTAATGCACTTTTAACACTCAATGTACCCACGATTCCAGCTCCTTTCCTGGGTAATAGTGTGAGATGAAGCAGCCTGTCCTCTAGGTGTGCGCTTTCTGTGGGGTCTCGCAGCCCGCTCCGCTCTGGCTGCTGCTGCTGCGCTCTGCCTCTGTTCTCGCTGCTTTCCCCCACCTTTCAGAGACTTATTGCTGGGTAGAAAAGCCATGTGCATCACCCTGGATCTCTGTATGTGTGTGCCTGTCAGTCTGAGAGCCTGCTAACAGTTTAATTTGCAGTTTTTCTCTTCTTGTACATTGGACGCCATAAACTGACGGTCAGATGGACACGATGTCCATTTGACCATCAGTTTATGCCGTCAACATGTACACTCAAATTAAAACAGCTGAATGCACTTTTAACACTTATGTACCCACAATTAGAGCTAATTTCATGGGTAATAGAGAGGGAGTGGTGTGCCCTTGGTGTGTTGGTCCCTGAGTCTCTGTGGGTGTCTATGTGTCCCACAGCCTGCTTCTCCGGGGTACTGGAGAGTCATTTTCAGGCTCCTCTCTAAAATTGTCGCCCTAAAAATGATTTATAATCATTATATTTGCATTTAAATTATTTATTTTATCATTAATATGGTTCCTTAACACAATGCACATAGTTTGGAGCTCACTGGGGTCCTGCATATGCTTTAATCAGGCGTTTTAACAGTTTTTTCCATGGAAATGATTTGTATTCACTATCATGGGGCTCTATAAATCAAATTCCGGGTAATTCGGAGCACAATTGTACCTTTTACTATTTAAATGTATTTGTATTATATATGTTTGCGCTATAAAAATGACATTTTTGGGTGACTTTGTCAGTTTATGGAGCTTATCCCACAAATCCTGGAGGTTCCAGGCCAAATTTGGGAGCTCATAGGTTGCCTGCCATGCGCCCCCACCCGTGGAAAGAAGAAAAAATGAAAGAAAACGGAGAAGGGGCTCAGCTCAACAAAGCAAAACCGTTCGGCGCTTCGGCCCGAAGCCCTGGACACTGTTCCACTCCCCCGTTGCAACTTGCAACGGGGGAGTGGAATCCAAGCCTCCCCTTCTCCGTCCAAAAAATTAATTCATCATTTTCAGACTACTGTCTGCACGAAATCGGAAACCTGGTTTTTCAGAGGTGACAGAAAAAAAACGGCTGTGTAATTTCATGGAGGAATGCATCCGCTCTATGTTCACTCTGACTCGGATACATTTGTTGCCCGGAGACCCCCCAGCATGGCTCCTACCAAACTTTAAGTTTTTGAACTGGTCTCTGGAGGAATGCAAGGGGAGTTGTCAGGGGACTCTACCCGCAATATGAGGCCCTATTTTCGGATACTTTTTTTCATTTTCACCCCTTTCCTATGGATCTCCAAAAAGTTAACTTAGACTTTTTCTGAGTCTGGAGGAATGCAAGGGGAGTCAGCAGGGGACTCTACCCGCATTATGAAGCACTATTTTTGGATACTTTTTTTCATTTTCACCCCTTTTCTATCGATCTCCAAAAAGTTAACTTAGACTTTTTCTGAGTCTGTAGGAATGCAAGGGGAGTTGTCAGGGGACTCTACCCGCATTATGAGGCCCTATTTTTGGATACTTTTTTTCATTTTCACCCCTTTTCTATGGATCTCCACAAAGTGAACTCAGACTTTTTTCTGATTTCTCACTGATCGAATGGCAAACGCGACGCGCCATCGGAGGGCCTCCGCCAGGCCCGGCCTTGTGCCGGTGCTCTGGCGGTTC